GCAAGCATTTGCTTCTGAACCTCCATGTACTCAACCATGCGAAGATGATACTTTATGTCCTTCTTCCACTGATGAGCTACTTTCACATCGGTGGAGCCTAAGAACTCAGGTGGGCTCCCCTTTATGAAAGAACTTCTGGCCTTCTCCCAATTATTAGTCTAAACCACTGGTAAAGGTACAGGTGCCTGCTGAACATGTTGCTGATTCTGAAGTGCAGCTGCTACACCTACTGCTACAGCCTGAGCAATGATGTCAGCTATCTTCTTCTTCTTCTATTTTTTTTTTTTTTTTTTTTTGGATAAGTAAAAATAAATAAATTAATGATGCACCCATGACTTGAACATGAAACCTTAAGACAATGATGTCAGCTATCTGAGGAGGATACTCTGGATTGTTGTCCTGATTATGGTCATGATCCTAAGGTTCTTGATAGTGCTGCTCCTCCTCATGAACTATAGATAACTGTTCCTCCTTGTCGTGGAACAAAGGTGTATGCTGCTCTACTACAGCTTGCTGATGTCGTAGGAAATTCTGACGCTTAGGCTCCACCTTCCTTAGCTGCCTTTCCTTACAAATCTGCTCCATTTCCCATCTTTTTCCGGCGTTAACCATTCTGTTAGCACAGTAAGATGGAAATCAATATGCAATTTAACAGACCATAAAAGAATACAATTAACCCTCATACTTAGGCTCTAAACAAACGAATACGCTACACAGAAGTCGATATACGAAAGATTCGTAGAGACATTTGAACCTGGAGTGCTCTGTTACCAACTATGATACCCCTAATTTCAAATTCATGGGTTTATCAAGTCCATGTTCAAAACCAGGGCATATCAAAACAATTAGGTAATAAACGAACAGGATAAATAAAGAATAAATAAATGTTAAAAGAAAAACTAAAATAATAATTAAATAATTAAATCGTTAATGAATAAATCCAATAAATAATAAATATATCTGATACCATTAATCCTCCGAAATACAACTTAGGAATCCATACCACGTGGACCCCTAATAAAATCCTAACTAAAATGATTAATGAGGATGCAATAAGTGGTATGGGCCGGTTATGGCATGCTGGCATGGGATTGGGGCGAACAATTGAAGTATGGCCCATACAAAAGCAACACAGAATGGGCCAAGCTCGGAGGATCCACTGAAGAGGACCAAACCCATTGGAAAGAAGGTTCAAAAGAGATAGACCAGCAGCACTGGTAGTTGCCTATAAAAGGGTAGCGAAGAAAATGAAATAGAGGATGAATTTTTCATTATTGAAAATGTAATAAGATTCTAATAGAAAAATCTTTGCATTTTCAATTGGCGCCGTCTGTGGGAAACGATGAAGAAGTTCGATTCGAGCTTGATCAGTATCATGTTAGTTCAATCAAATTCGTGAACACATAGTTTGATTTCTAGAAGTTGAATCCAGATCAGCGAGATTGTAATTTGTTCAGAGAAGATTCTTGCTTATTGTTGATTTTGAGGTATTTGCTTCGGAATTACGCAACTGTGATTTGTTCAATTGCAGTCGGATCCGGTGAGTTCAAAACTAGAAAAGCTCAGATCTAGCAAACGGTGACCACGATTCGATGAAGTTGAGTCCAGATCTAACGGAATTTGCATCGGTGACGCTTAGATCTGTTTAAGAATTCGTAATTCATGCCTTTGCTTCGCTCCGGAATCATGATAGGGGGTGAGAACTCCAATATGGTAGAGAACGTCCAGCAAATGAAACTTGATGAGTTGATGAGCATGATCGAAGCTCTCCGGAGAGAGAATGCAGATCTAAGGACTAAAATGCAGCACCAAGAAGTTCCGGTGATTCTGCGACCGCTCCCGATAGGAGAAGAAGTTGCACAAACCGATGCGGCACATCACGGCGAGGAGGTAAGGAATAATCTAACAGATCTTCACCGCGAGGAAGTCCGGCCAAATGATTTACCGCCAAATCCTCGTCATATTGATGATCGTGAAGGATCGACTCACGTGGATCCACGGCGTGAGCAGATCAGGCAAAACGAAGCCATGACTTTTGATCCACATCAAGAAACACTCAGCTGAGTGAAGCAATAGAGTATGATTGTCACAAAGCTATGCCTCCATAGCATAGAGAGTTTGTTAAGGACAGATCATTCGATCCGACTTATTAGTCTTCTATGGTGACGTTCGACTATTGTGGCTCAGAAAGGAGATCTGTAGACCAAAGAGCAACCGTGGGGTTCCAGAGGGAAAATGAAGCGCTCCGTTCAGCAGCTCGAATGGTTGATTCACCATTAACCGATGAAATTCTGAATGCTCCGAGTCCGAGGAAATTTTTCATGCCCGTTTTCATTCTGTTTGACAGAACGACCGATCCGATCGATCATGTGTATCACATCCAGTTGAAAATGGCTCTGAACACTGAGAATGACTCTTTGATGTGCAAGTGTTTTCCTACGAGTCTAGCTGGACCAGCGCTTAATTGGTTCAAGAACCTGCCGAGGGGCTCAGTGGATAGTTTCCGAAGCTTGTGTAATCGGTTCATAAGCCAATATTATGGAAATAAGCGTCCAGCAAAGGACATTTTGAGCCTATTCACAATGAAGCAGCATGAGGATGAGCGTCTCCAAGCTTTCCTGACCAGGTTTAACCTTACTAAGAGTATGGTGATTGAGTGTCATCCTTCTACAGCGGTTCAAGCATTTATACTGGCCATGACTCGTGACACTCCATTCCACACAAGTTTGGTAGTGAATACGTCGAAGACTATGGATGAACTTAATGAAAGAGCTGATGGATTTGTGCGCTTGGAAGAAGAAGAGGTGGCTAACGCTCGGAAGACATCCGTCATATCAACAGAGGAAAAAAGCAAAGCAAAGATCAGACAAAAACAGGTTCAGCCACAACGTCAGCCCTCGTAGAAATCTGAGAAGAGGCCCAGGGAGGAAGAGTTGGTTACTCCATTGAAAGTTACCTTAGCAAGGCTGTACCAAGAAAATAAAGATAAGTTCTGATCTCCTTTACCAATCAGACAACCCCTCGAACAGAGGGATCAGTCTAAGCATTGTGCATTTCATTCTGACTTTGGCCATCAGACTAATGAATGCAGGAACTTAAGGAGACAGGTAGAGATGCTGATAGCCAGAGGGGAGTTCGCAAGTTATATTCAAGGTCCGGCGGTGGAACAGAACTGACCAATAGAGCACGTGAAGAGGAGTCAGAAGTCGAACTCTCAGAATACGCAACCAGTTCAAATAATCAATACAATTTATGGCCGGCCTGAGCTTACTAAGGAGTCCAATGAACTACTTCGAACATGCCTTCGCCAGGCACGGATGAAGAGGAGGATAAGCAGTGTAAACTCTCTGCACCAACAGAGCGCATCAACACAGATAAAGTTTGACAGAACAGATTTATTGCATGTTTAGATCCCTCATGGGGACCCGTTGGTTGTTAATTTGACGGTAGCCGAATGTTTGGTACGTAGAGTTCTAGTTGATCCTGGAAGTAGTGCGAACGTCATGCCAAGGGACACATTTGATCGACTCGAGATCCAGTCGGACCGGCTCAAATCCACTGGGAATCCTTTGCTAGGGTTTGATGGAAAACGAGTGGAGCCCATCGGTACGGTGGAGGTAGCAGTACACGCTACAGAGAAGGTTCTGATGGAGACCTTTGTAGTTGTTGAGATTTATCCCTCTTACAACCTTTTAATGGGCAGAGGGTGGATCCACAGAGTTTAAGGTGTTCCTTCCACTCTGCATCAAGTAATGAGATACCTGGGGCCAGATGGAACTAAGGTGATTGACATTCATGGGGACCAGGTTGCAGCTAAAGAATGTTATTCAGTAACGCTGAAGTATGCTGGAAAAGGGAAAGCTCCCATCTGTTCAGCAAGTCCGAGATAGCAATTACAGGAGCCTCCCTCCAAGCAGAGTGGGGAGGAGGAGCCATTGGACTTGACTGAAGAACCCCTGGTTGATATGCAGATCGATCAGTTCCGACCAGAACGAACAACCAGAGTGGGAAAACGACTCGCCGAGGAGGAGAAACAGGAGTTAGTTAATTTCTTATCTCAAAACGCAGATGTATTTGCATGGAGTCACCTAGACATGCCTGGAATTGATCCTTCTGTATCTTGTCACTCCTTGAACGTTAATCCCAATGCAAGACCTGTAAAGCAGAAGCATCGAGAGTTTGCTCCCGAGTGCAACCGGATCATTGCCGAGGAGGTTGACAGGCTGCTTGATGCGGGATTTGTAAGAGAAGTGTACTATCCTGACTGGTTGTCAAATGTTGTCGTGGTGCAAAAGAATAATGGGAAATAGCGAGTATGCATTGATTTCACCAATCTGAACAAAGCCTGTCCGAAGGATAACTTTCCGCTGCCGAAAATTTATCAAATGGTGGATGCTACTACTGGGTATGAGCGTTTAACCTTTTTAGATGCTTATTCAGGTTACAATCAGATCCCCATGGATTCTGCTGATGAAGAGAAAACTTCTTTCGTTACCAAACGTGGGACGTATTGCTACAAAGTCATGCCATTCGGACTGAAGAACACCGGAGCAACTTACCAAAGACTTATTAACAAAATTTTCAAGGGCCAAATAGCGAAGACTGTGGAAGCTTACATTGATGACATGGTGGTAAAAAGTAAGAAGAAAGTTGACCATCTGAAACATCTACGAGATGTATTTGATGTGTTGAGGCAATATGGAATGAAGCTCAATCCAACCAAGTGCTCATTCGGTGTAAGTTCTGACCAATTCCTAGGGCACGTGGTTAATCATAGAGGCATAGAGGCAAGCCCTGCCCAAGCAGAAGCTCTGACTAAAAATGCCGAGCCGACGATAGTCAAAGAAGTGCAAACACTTACGGGACAGATCGCTGCACTGAGCCGGTTCATTTCCAAATTGTCAGATCACTGCAAACCATTTTTTGACACAATACGAAGCCATGGCAGGCAAGTTTGGGGGGATGAACAATGCCTAGCATTAACTGCTCTGAAAGAGTATATGCAGAACCTTCCGGTCCTGTCAGCTCCAGAACCAAGCGAAAAGCTATTTTTATATCTCGGAGTATCCAGCATCGCGGCAAGTGGTGTTTTGATCTGCTGTGCAGAGGGGAAGCAATATCCAGTGTTCTATGTTAGCAAAACACTGACTGAGGCCGAAAGATGTTATTCAAAGGCGGAGCAGGTGATACTCTCGCTAGTGCATGCGAAAAGAAAGCTCAGGCATTATTTTGAATCCCATCCTATCAGCGTTCTAACCACTTTCCCTATCAGAGTAATCCTGCACAAACCAGACCTCTCAGGAAGGATAACGAAGTGGGCCATAGAGTTAAGCTCATTTGATATCACATACGAACCCAGAACGGCAGTCAAAGGGCAAGCGGTGGCAAATTTTTTACTAGAATGTGATTCAGAGGACATAAAGGAAGACCTTCGTGGTTGCTTATGGAAACTCTTTGTCGATGGATCCTCAAATCAAATTGGTGCAGGCATTGGGATCAAACTGCAGACGCCAGAAGGTACATCCTTAAGTCAAGCGCTCCGGCTTGAATTCAGAGCTACCAACAATAAGGCGGAGTATGAAGCACTGCTGGCAGGAATTAAGCTTGCCAAGGAGTTGAATGTCAAAAATTTGACTGTTTTTAGTGACTCGCAATTAATTGTTCGGCAGGTGAATAGCGAGTATGAAACCAAAGATGAAATGATGGAAGTATATCATTCTGCTGTTATGCGGGAGGCCAAAAACTTTGAAAAATTTGAATTCATTCAAATTCCGAGGGAGCATAACGAGGATGCCGATCGGCTAGCATGTAGTGCCTCGGGTTCTGGAGAAACATTGGCAAGGGTAATTCCAGTAGGAATATTAAACTAGCCATCCATTTTTGAAGAACCTTCGGGCTCAGATCCTTGGCAAGTGAATGTTATTCATATGAGCAAAGTTGGATTGATCCGATCATAACTTACATTCGGGATGGTACTCTACCTGAGCAAAGAGATGAGGCTAGGAAAATCAAATCGAATGCTGCAAAGTACGCCATAGTGCATAACCAGTTGTATAGAAGATCTTTTTCCGGGCCGTACTTAAAGTGCGTTACCCCTACAGAGGCTCGGCAGATACTGCGAGCTATTCATGAAGGTGTTTGTGGAAACCATTCAGGAGGAAGGTCTTTAGCGCACAAAGTAATGACACAAGGGTACTTCTGGCAGAACATGTTGCGAGATGCAGAAGAATTATCCAGAAGGTATGATAGGTGCCAAAGGTTCGAACCACTGATCCACCAACCACCTGAGGACTTGCACGTAATGGCCACACCATGGCCTTTCACACAATGGGGGATGGATGTGGTTGGTCCTCTGCCAACTGCAAGAGCTCAGAACAAGTATGTGCTGCTAGCTACAGATTACTTTACTAAGTGGGTGGAAGCAGAGCCGTACCCGAGCGTAACTCAAACTCATGTGAGACGGTTCATTTGGAGTAATATTATTTGCCGGTTTGGTGTTCCAAGGTCAATCGTCATGGATAATGGGACCAACCTTAACAGCAAGCAAGTAAGAGAGTTGTTGGAGGAATATGGAATTAATCAAAAGCTGGCGGCAGTAAGTCATCCCCAGGCTAATGGACAAGCAGAAATCACGAATAGAACAATCTTTGCTTGCATCAAGAAGAAGCTTGAAGATAAGAAAGGAAAGTGGTTAGACGAACTGCCGAACGTCTTGTGGGCTTATAGGATGACCCAAAGGCGACTGACTGGAGAAAGCCCATTTGCCATGGCATATGGTACCGAGACAGTTATACCGGTCGAACATTTGGTTCCGACTGTCCGAAGCTTGGCATGGAACCAAGAGCATAACGACAGTATGTTGAGGTTTAACCTTGATATGTTGGAGGAAAAAAGAGATGCAGTAAGGCTTGCATCCTACCAACAGACACTTATGAATAGCCATAACAAAAAGGTAAAGCACAGGGACTTGCACAAGGTGATCTGGTTCTGAAGAAGAAGGTAGGAATGGTAAAGAACATGGTGGCACCCTGGAAAGGCCCATATAGAGTTGCAAAAGTCTTAGGGAAGGGAGCCTATACTTTAGAAACCATGGCCGGAAGACTGGTCAACAAGCTATGGAATGCTACGTCTCTGAAAAGGTATTATCAATAGAAAATCGAGTTCCAATTTTATCATTGATCATTCTCAAATTGTGTACGCACGAATGAATGAAATTTTGAAATCTATAAAGAGATATCTTCTTATGAAAAAATTGAATGTTTAAAAATCAGCAAAGTAAGTGGCAGTTGGCACTATGAGCCGAACGCCAAAAACTTGCCAAAAAATAAAAGAGTGAAAGTGGTAAGTGGCATTCTAGCCGAGCGCCAACCACTCAGCAAAGAAAGTGGCAGTTGGCACTATGAGCCGAATGCCAAAAACTTGCCAAAAAAATAAAAGAGTGAAAGTGACAAGTGGCATTCTAGCCGAGCGCCAACCACTCAGCAAAGAAAGTGGCAGCTGGCACTATGAGCCGAACGCCAAAAACTCGCCAAAAAATAAAAGAGTGAAAGTGGCAAGTGGCATTCTAGCCAAGCGCCAACCACTCAGCAAAGAAAGTGGCAACTGGCACTATGAGCCGAACGCCAAAAACTTGCCAAAAAAATAAAAGAGTGAAAGTGGCAAGTGGCATTCTAGCCGAGCGCTAACCACTCAGCAAAGAAAGTGGCAGCTGACACTATGAGCCGAACGCCAAAAACTTACCAAAAAATAAAAGAGTGAAAGTAGCAAGTGGCATTCTAGCCGAGCGCCAACCACTCAACAAAGAAAGTGGCGGCTGGCACTATGAGCCGAACGCCAAAAACTTGCCAAAAAAAGAAAATGAAAGTAGAAAGTGGCATCTTAGCCGAGCGCCAACCGCTCAGCAAAGTAAGCGGCCATTGGCACCATGAGCCGAACGCCAGAAACTTACACAAAAAACTTTTGCTATGACACACTAGCTGAAAGCCAACCACTGACATATAGGGAAGAACCAGATCAGATAGCATTGAATCATTAAATCAAGGGATTTATGGTAAGAGTTCGATCAAAAGTCGGCTATTTCATTAATGATGAAGTTTAAAGAGTTACAAAAAATGATGAGGTATACAGATTGCAAAAATACAAAAGAAGGAAGGTCAATACATCAAAGAGGTTCTAACTAGAAGCGTTTGCCCCGTCAGCTTCTTGATAGTGCTGAACGGCCTCCTCATTATTGTTGGCGTTGCCATCCTCATTGGGAGGAGAGTCGAGCTGAATGACAGAATCATTCTGCTGAGTTCTATCCTCAATAGCGTTGGAAGAATCATTTCGCTGAGGGTTATCTTCAACAGAAGTAACAGATGGAGTCACAGTGGATAGAGGAAGAACGTCCAAAGTTAAAGCGGTAGAAAGAGTAAGAGTGATCCGGGAAGAGGCAATCTCTTGGCACTCATCAAATATTCCCTCAGCAATGGTTGAATCTGGATCGGCATAAATACCTGGAGGATCAATCTCCAGCTCCCTGTCAACCTCATCAGAGGTAGAACCAGTCTGACCCTCCCCCGGAACACGATTGGCATAACCTTCTCGGAACCCCTGAGCATATCTGAGGGCCCCAACTCTGGAAAATCGAGCCTACAAAGCTAGCATACCACCATTTACCCTACTAATGATGTCGAGTAAAGCATTGCACTCGTCCAAAGCCCTTTTCTCAAAGGCCATCCGAGCAGATTGCTCATCACTCAGAAGGCGTAGCAGTTCTTCCTTTTCAGCCTTAAGGGATTCTCACTCGATATGCCAGACGCTCTTCTCGAGCTGCAATGCATTCCTCTCATCCTAACGAGAGTCCGTCTCCTTCTTCAGAGAGTCCCTCTCCTTTTCAACTTTACCAAGCTGAACCATTAACCCGGTCTTCTGAGCAACCAAAGCATTGTTCTCCTTGTTTGTTGCACTGAGGCTGTCAGAGAGTGTGCGAACCTTGGCGTTCACAAGCTCAACCTGCTTTTGTATAGCCATCATCCCTTATAGGGTCTGTAGAGATATACATGACAACTGGTTAAGCCGAGCAGATGGTTAGAAGAAATCAAGTGTAAAGACTGTATGAAGATTCATTGACTAAGAGGCAGAAGTTACCTCCATGGCAAATAAGGGAAATCGGTTGAACACTTCCTTCTGAGATAGACCCTTGGCTACCTCAATGTCCTTAGGAGTCCACATGCTCCTGTAGTATGCCATAGCGGTCTGACCATCCTTGAACATGGTCTCGTTCGGTTTTACAGACGATCCGTCTGTTCGAATGAAGGAGGGTTCCATGGTGTCGTTCCTGAGGCAGAGGCATGCCCAGAAGGGGTAAGGGGCCTAGTCTGAGGAGGCCTGGCTAGAGGTTGCACGGGCACATTTGGCCCAGAAGGCCTAACCCTCTGTGACAAAGGAACGTCATCGAGGCTGAGGGCACTATCAGGCCGATGCCTTTTTCCTCTTGTCTTTTCCCGTACGGAAACAGTAGTAGAGCCGGGAAGGTTGCTAATAGAAGAGGTCATGATAGGACTAGCGGTCGCTGTGTTGGAGATCGGGTCAATAGCCGTCACGATCGGATCGGTGGAAGGAGTGGTATCAGAAATGGTGCCGGAGGAAGATACTGAAGCTGGAGAAGAAGTTGCTGCAGGGGCAACAACAGGCCTGGGGACAGTTTTCCTCCTGCCAAAGGAAGGGATCTGGAGTTGACTCATTGTCTTGCCGAGGGCTGAGAGAACAAGGAGGTTGTCTGAAGTGAGGAGGTCTAAGCAGGAGGGAATGTCGGTCAGAACGTACTGCTTCAGGTAGTTATCCCTATCCCTGTACACACCGTAGCTCAAATCATCACAAGGAATGCCTAAGGAATGGTACAAGAAAGTACAAAAACGAGGAATGCAAATCTCACAAGGACATTCACTCTTATGGGTTTTGTATTTTTTATAAGAAGAGACAAAGCACTCTCCAAAAGCGCTCGGGATAAGGAAATCCTCTACAACTGGAGAAAACCAGGCTTCCCTAACCCCAATTATATTTTTCCTCCAACCCTTCTCAGATTTGATCTTATCTGTGCAAATAGACCTCTTCTCAATGGGGTAAAAGTGGTAAAACGGTTCATCAGTTCTGATCTTGCTAACCTTGTAACAGAGGAGAAGATCTACGAGGTCCAGATCTAGACCTCTATCACAGATCAGAAGCAGCATAACAGATAAAATCCTAAGAAAATTTGGGTTTACTTGCAAAGGGGAAAGTTTCAGTTTATTAAAAACATAGCAAAAGAAAGGATGCAAAGGGAATCTAAGGAGGTTAAGATGAAGGTGTGAAAACAGAACCTCGCCGGGAAGAAAGCCAGCACCGGTTCTAATATTCACCTCTCTAGGGCAATTTCTAATTTGTATATCGTTAGGAAGGTGAAGTCTCATGCGAAGAACATCTAGATCCACAGTCATGGTGAGAATGAACGAGGATTTTAAGGAAGAGAAAGAGGTCTTCCGAAAGAAAAAGGCAAATGAAACTAACCTCAGAGAGTGAGAACGTCAAAGAGTACTGCAAGGTCGCTGGAAAGAGGAGCTTTTGTAAGAAATCGCCGGAGAGGATTTGAGCAACAAAAAAGTGAGATGGAGAAGGTAAAGAGAATTGATGGAACATCTATGAGGCTGATAAAGACAAGGTGGGCCCGATGGCCGAGGAGTCAGGAAAGCGAGGAGTTTTTTGAATCTCGAAGCGCCGACCCCCAAATCTAACTGTCCATTCTCTTATGCGATCTTCTTGAGCCGTCAGGTTATGATTAGCAGCCTCTAATAATTACCCCCTAATTAATAGGGAGTAATTATAGGGGCAGTTGAGGATGCAATAAGTGGTATTGGCTGGTTATGGCACGCTGGCATGGGATCGGGGCGAACAATTGAAGTATGGCCCATACAAAAGCACCACGGAATGGGCCGAGCTTGGAGGATCCACTGAAGAGGACCAAGCCCATTGGAAAGAAGGCCCAAAAGAGATAGACCAGCAGCACTGGTAGTTGCCTATAAAAGGGCAGCGAAGAGAATGAAATAGATGATGGATTTTTCATTATTGAAAATGTAATAAGATTCTGATAGAAAAATCTTTGCATCTTCAATTAAATGTCTAAAATTGAATACTAAAATATAAATAGAATCCTGCGTAAATAACCGAAAGAGTGATGATAATTGGTCTCTGCTTTACACGAACACAAGCTAAGTCTGGAACTGACGATGAAAATAAATATTGGGTTACACCCATAAACAAGTTCTTTCTATTACATCCCAAACAGAGACCTAATCGGTATACATATATAAATACACACTAAAGACTTTCACTAGACTATAGGGCAAAATACACAACCCTCTATATCCAGCTATGCATCCTAGGGGCAATATAACATTCCTAACCATCGATCGTGAGAACTCAAGCTCATATCATAGTTATATATATATATATATATATATATATATATATATATATATATATATATATATATATATATGTAGATAGCCATATCATAACAATGACAAAATCTATGTCCGTCATCCATATTCTAACGATGGCATGACAAGGAATGCGTCTAAACTTATTAGCCAGCTCACCCTTAATATACATCTATATCCTAACAATGGTGTATAAATCCGAAATCATATCCTGATAATGGTTCACACACAATCAAATAAATAATAGATCAAGTATAAGATCATAACATACTGTAATGACATGTCTTAATCTTTCTTGTGTTTTGTATTTTAAGTATATATGTGTGTGTGTGTATATATATATATATATATATATATATATATATATATATATATATATATATTCATTGTGATATGTATTTGTATCTAAATTTTTGTTTCTAATATTTTTTATTTATATTTATTAATTATTTTTATATTTATTTTTTTCATAGGAAGCATGACAGAATTAGAAACTACTTCAAAAATTAAGTTTTTTGTCTCAGGGTTGTCGTCG